GCAAAATTTAAGGCCAAAGAGATTCAAGAATATAGGAAGTTTAATGTTTATTGAACTTTTAAGTCAGGCTTTCTTGTTAACACTGCAAAACTTAGTGCTTCAGGGCACAACAGAAACGATAAAATTTTACAGTTTTAAGATTAACACAAGAGAAAATGGTCAGTGGTTAATTGAACATACTGCAGGTAGCTTTCCCATATTTCATAATCTCATTTGTTGTACTACCATCCTAAAGTGTCTTTAATGCACTGTTTCTTTTATGCTATTTTCCCTTGAGTGCCCATGTGTCTGAAGTTATCTTGAGGGAAGTCATCTGTATTTTGCAAGTTTTTAGGTATTGTGGTCACTAACGCCTACATTAGTGACAAGATTTAAACCTAAAATGTTTTTAAAATGTTAAATGTTCTAGCTAAATATTAGAACTAAAATTTTCTCTGTCATCTATTGCACCAATTAACGTAGCATTAATAGAAATATTATGTTACTGTTTTAGAATTTCATATATACATTATAGGGACATATGCCCAATACTTCTGAACTGAGTGACTGATCTCACCAGAATAGTTTTTTATACACTTCAAATCTTTCTTGTAGATATCTTTCATGCTTGTTATTCACAAGAACTGTCTTCTACAAAAATCCACTGTCATGTACCAAGCAACCCGCAATAAGGCACTTCCATAGTTAACTGGGCTGTAAATAATTTTTCTGTAACCCATTTGCTCTGTCACACAGTATTCCAGATCCTGCTTTACAGGGAATTTTCTCCATGATTTCAAGGCATGTACATCCATATGTGCAGAAATAGCTTGCCTTGGTGCTGTTTTTGAGCTTCCTCAAAATGGAGGAATTCAGGGCTTGAAGGGTTGTTATCTTACACTATACACTGGGAATTTACAAACTAACCACAACAGACTCTGATTCATCTTTCTATTGCTGAATTTCACATTCCTCTCATAGACACCTGAAAAGAACATTCTTAATCATAAAGCAAACTAATTTGCAGTTGGACACCCACGGCAAAATTGGAAACTTAACTCTTTACTCACCTTCATATTAACTGTTGACTTGGTTTTGCTCCTCACACTTTGATTGCACTTTGCTGAACATCCTTGCTTCCTTTCTTCACTTTGACAGAGTGCACTTGGGGCTGTCTCTGCTCATTTTTCTGGACACTGCATGTCTCACGCCTTTCTTAACTACAAGCTCTTACCCTTGCTCTGTCCAATGCACAAATGAACAAGTTGGAGACAGTCTTTTACTGAGGAAGACTAGTGTTTTGGGAAAGCTGTTGGAAAGCCTGGAGAAACAGTTTGTCTGGAGGAAAGGAGGGATATCCAGTTCTGCTGTGGAAACTGGTCAGACACCTAGGAAGAAGTGTAGGAAAAGGCAGGAAAATGATTTTGTGAACTCTTGAATTTGCTATTTCTAGTGAAAAGAAGGAAGAGCTGAAAGTTGTGAGGAGGACAGGCGATAGAAATCCAAGTCAGCAATATTCATGGCACTGAGAGTAGAAAAAGTTTCTCTAACAAAAATGCAAGGGCCTGAGGTAGAGAATCTTATAGAACCATGACCAAAGATAAATTAAAAATCATTCTATGGATCAAGCTGAATGGCTGTAAGAAGAATTTCAGCATAAGCTTAAAATTTTTTCCATTGAAGTTTTGCTTTGGTTATTGACAGAAGCATCAGACATTTTGCTTGTAGAAGGCAACCACATAAGTAAATATGAAATCTATAGGAAATCTGCCCTGGTTGGGCTTGTTTCAAATTAGTAGGATTTTCATGTTCCTACCTGTAGTTAATTTTTAAAAACATAAGAAATTTTGACTTATGCAAAACTTATCATCTGCAAGGCATGTTGAGAAAAGCACGTTTATTGGTAGGAATAAAAGCTCACTATGAAGGAAATCCTCCAAAAGAAATAGGACATAGTATGTTGTACATAAAAGTGAGTATACTATAACTACCATAAAATGTAGTGTATTGTCCTTCTAAACTCCTAAGCTAAGTAGCTCCAGAAGCTCTGCATCAGCTGGCAATTTGTATAGGCTTTAAACTGCTACCAATAAAAACCCTAAATGGTGGGTTGCACCACTTTATTAACAGCAGAAGGCACATGTAATCATGCCATTCATACAAATACTTTTTCTGTTTGTTATCTTGCTTGGAAAGAAGGAGAGAGCTTGGAGTCAAATCTCATTTGCCTCCTTTCAGCAATACACTTGATATCTGTAACTTGTGTTCTAAAGTTTTCCACTTTGAGAAAACCTACAGAAGGGAAGTGGATCCTCCATGAATATTATTTCTGAGTGGAATAAGGAGTCATAAAAATGACAGTCTGCTGGATGTGTGGAAAAAAGGACCCCACCAATGTATGTCAGCTATTTGGGGCGGTCCAGAGCTTGAATAATTCTCATTAATTTTTGAGACTGTCAATACTAAGGCCAGTTTGATAAAACACCATGACTTACTGCAATATTTATTGAACCTAAATCAAAAATATCTCCATATTCATATCAGAACACAAACAGGTTTTCTAATTCTTCTGAGGCATTCTGCTATTTAATTTCCTACAATGAAACAAATTCCATGTAGTAGTGAAAGCTTCTCTCCTGACTTCAGTCAATACTGGAAACAGAATGTAGGAAAATGCTTTATGCAAAATAGGAAGGAACTGTGTGGTTTGTGATTTAGAATTAATTGCATAGCAATAATATATGACAAGATCAGACGCTGTTGTTTATACACATATCCAAGGCCTTTATTTTCTAGACCTGCCATTTATCGTTTGAAATTACACTAAAATCTACAATAGCTTGCAAACCAGTTCATGCCAAATTCGTCCACAGTGTTTGTGATAGACATTGGCGCATGAATTCCAAATGGTAAATAAGATTACAAAAGTGAGTCTTATATATGTCTGGAAGAGCAATGAACAACTAAGCCACTGCTAATGTTGAAGTACATTTTGATTACATCAGTCTCTGTGTGGGAAATCAGGTGTTGAGTTACATTTTCTAATGTTACTGAAGAAGACTAATAGAGCATGTGACTAGTTTTCTGTGTATGTCTTCTGACTTTTATGGAGAGTCCCTATCAAATTTAAGAATGAATCAATATCATGTAAATAACTTTTCTGTCCTCTGTAATGAAATCCCAGTTACACAGGGTTCTGGGTTAAACTGCTCATTTGCATTCCCCTGAGTAATGCTTCATACGAATTTTTGCATTTTTCCAGATCACCCATCTTTTAAGTTTCACTTCCCTAAATTGCTGGGTTTGGAATTAAACACTGCCCAAATGAAAATTAAAGGGTAGTCTGTAATTTTTACCTCATCTGAGAAGAATTTCACCAACTGTACCTAACTTTGTTATTACCAGTATTTTACTGGCTGCAGTTCTCTTCTTCGTGTAATTCTATTTGACCAAAGACTCTGGATGTCACCCAGATGTTCACATAAATTATATTCTACTTTACTTGAGACTGACCTCACTCATGTCCTGTAGCCAGAAAAAGATTTGGCAGTCATTTATAACCCTGAATCTCTAATCATATTTTTTAGAAGTGACATGCATTCTTATTGCTATTGATAAAGTGGCTGTCAAGATAAAGGTTGTGTGGAGAATAAGCTTCTTCCGAGGCACAGAACACAAAGAAAAGCAGTTACTGCTTCAAGCTACAACACACTTTAATACACTGGGTAGACTATTGGTCTTATTCACTCAGTAAAAGGCTCCTACTTAATTAATATGGCACAGTGGCCATTTACATGCTGTGGACTTTGTTGCTTTGTCTAAACAGCTGAAGTCCATACCACTGCAACACTGATGTGGTCTTCAGATCCTTTGCAGAGTTATTGCTGATGCTAGTGAGCCTGTGTGCTGGGGAAGGGAATGAGAGTGGCATGCACACATTCTCCAGTAAAACAGCAACTTGACTGCTATTCATAAATGATCCTTTTAAATACAGAAAAAAAAATGCTAAGGACACCAGTTCAAGTTTAGCCTACAGATTCTGTAAATCATTCTTCAGATTTATATGTGACTTCCATGTGTTCCAAATGCTTCCTAGAATTTGGATTTTCTCTAAATTATTATTAGAGGGCCTCCTGTGGGATTAAAGATCTTTGGAAAGGTTATGAGACCTTTATTTTTCTAAGTAAGCTCAAACCAGTTCTTCTACTTGTTGTTTAGCTTCACAAGCTTGCTGAACTAATCAACAGTGATTAGTTCTATGGGGTTATTTTATGCCTTTTTTTATTCTTCCAGGAAGAAAAGTTTTCTCAAGGGTACTCCTGTTGCTTCAATGAGCCCATTAGGCAAATACACCCGAAATGTGTATTAAAGCTTAATTCTCTTAAAGCTCTTTTTGTTTGTGAAATATTATTTGTATTTTGTTAAAGGTTGGAGATCCTACATAGTGACAACTTCACTCTGAGCATAACAGGAGACAGAAAAAGACCCAAATTTTTAATTCTTCATCCCATTTGAATATTTGGTTAATGTCTTCTGTCACAGCAATACAAGACAATGACAGGGCACTGATTTTAGCAGGATGTAAAGACAAAATTGCTGAGAACCATCTTGAGAAAGAATAACAAGAAAACCACACCACTTAGGGGAAGCACATTTGGTTTAGTCTGTTGTGTGTCACTGGGGCATTAACAGAGGTCATAACAATAGACACCTTTCCCATGAGATATTGCAAGATAAGATACACCTTGACAGCTACTGAAGAGTATCACACAGTGGCACACATCTGCACATCAGTTCAGGAATTAGACCATTGTTCAGGAGTGTAGTTTTCTAAATCTTAATTTCTTCAGCTCATAAGCAGAGCTGCTCTCTATCAAACAGTAGCACTTCTGCAAAGTGACACTTGTCTCTGAAGCCAAACTAGAGAGGACCGTGTACACTCAAAGATCTCCACACCTGTCAGTAAGTCAATAGGAGAAATTAGGGGGGAAAGTCATTAGTAGACATTTTCTATGAAATAACAAACTTCCTTATCATTTTATTTCCAAACTGCTGCTTTCTCATAGTGTCTGATAATCACAGAGAACACTTCTCCTCTCAGGATACACAAACCACAGGATTCCGATGACTCACACTGAAAGAGCTTTCAAACACATGGAGGACGGAAGGGCACGCTGTTTCTGCATTAAAGCTTCCTGCCAAAGCCCCAGACTAAGCACACTTGAATATATTTGGACAAAGTTTTAGCAATAGTGGTAAGTTCACCTCACTGTAACTGTTCCAGTGAGGAACATGCCCGTTTATGAACTGTCTGATTGCATCCTGTTTGACACTTCCCTTCTGACAGTCACAGCTAAAGCAAAAACATTTGTGAAACTGTTGTTTGCACAGAAAGGTGCAATATTGACTTTTTGATGCAAGGATACCGCTCTTCACTGATGGTCAGCAGAAAAGGTGATTGGGCTGAAATCTTGACAGTTCTTTGGACAGGGCCTGTAATACTTTATATCTTTATTTTACTTTTAGTTGAATAAGCTCCTTACTGATCAAGCTCTTCATCTAACATCAGGAGGATACTGAAAATTAAAGTGAAGTTCTCTCTTCTTGGAAATGTAAAGATAAATCCTTCAGCTGAGGCAGCAGATCTCCAAAGGAGAAATACTAAGCTCAATCTGCTGTAGAATATAGGAGTCCTTATGAAAAAACTTCAGAGGAAAGGGGTCTGAAAGGGGAGACCTAACATACACAGGTTGAAAGTGCAGTCTGATGCTGCTGCTGTCAGTAAAATTATTTGGCTTTTCCACAGTGCTTCTCTCAAGACATGCCAAAGCATTCACCTGTTGTTTAATACCTAGGGAGTAAACACCTAACACTGCAGGGGAATAATGAAGCCTGTTCAGCCACATATTTCTCAGAGCAAAGGCTGAATACCTCTAAATATCCTGCTCAGCTGAACTTAGATAGTTTCTCACATCATGGCTTGGACTTTGATGGAAAAGAAAATAGATCTAGTCAGTGTCAATGGTTTGAGAATCAATAAATTTCAGATTGTGATGAACACCAGGGGCCAGTGAAAGACCTGCATTCTCAAATTCATAAACTAGTTGATGACAGTGAATACCTGCCTTGAAGGAAAGGTGTGACTGACATGCAAAACTTTGAGATGCTGAGCTGATCTCAGAAGTGTGAAGCAAGACCAATGGACTTGTAGAGCACCTCAAGTTTTGAATTTCATCCTCATCAGCTGAAAGTGCAGAGCTTTCCGTAATTTGAAGTTAATGTATGTATGTTATGGTCCCCAGATCCCAGATACCAGCTTCTTACTGACTGCAGCTCCATTACCGAGGACAGAGGTAAATGCTAGAGCAACCAGACTGCACTCCTCATATTGATGGAATTACATAACAGGAACAGAGCATTTGAGATCCCAAGCAAGGGGGATTGGTGAGTAGTGCAGTAGGATGATATGTATTTCTTAGGAACCTTGGAATAGAATACAAGCATTGCAAAGGTACAACAAGGACAAGAAGCAGGAGGTCTTACACTTTAAGAGGATTATAACCACCTTTATCCACCTAATTGACAGTCCCATTATTCTTGATGTGTGGAAAGCAGATAACAACAATTTCCCTAGGGCGTATCCCACAGTTTATGCTTTTCTGCTCCCACAAGGAGCTAATGCGCTCATTCTCCTCCTTCTATCAATTGCATTTGCAGCTAATGACACTGCAACTGATACAGATTGTTATTATTAGTCTCCCAAGATATCAATATACAATTCAGAGCATATGAAATACCATTCATGAAAGATTGAAAGGAGTTTTCCTAATGCAATTCTTGCCTTTGCATCTTTCTACTCCGTTCAAAGTTATGATGAATCACTCTTTCTCCTTTATCCATTTAGGCATATTTAAGTACAATTACTATAGAAGATCTATAGAAGGTCTTAAAGAAAGTAATTTTATAAATGCATGGTACTATTACTAGAACTCTATGGGTTTTTATCCTGTTTGTGTTAAGCTCCTATCCAAACTATTCCCTTTATGAAAGTTTTCCTAAGAAACCAAAATCATAACCTGGTTTTCATATGGATAATGAAAAGCAGTGGTTGCAGAGACAGCTGTTATTTTCTCTTTTCTATGTACCATTCAGTAGTTAAAAATCTGCATCATTCTAGATGTTTGAAGGTAGCATAAACTTAATATCAAAGCAAAAGTGGGTATTTGCATGAAATGGGAACTCTGGGTCCTGGAAATAAAGAAAAAGCATGGGTAAGCATTTCAATTTTTTAGAGGTCTTGATTTAAATAAGAATTTTGAAGCACAGCCCTATATGACATTTTTTAAGGTTATAGTTTGGATTATAGTGTTCTAGGCTGGCTGCTAAGCATTTCTGGAAAGCACACTTCAAGCAATGATGACAAAAATGTCAAACAGGATGTATGCACCCCAGGCAGGTGCTCAATGTTCTTTTTAACCACTTGGCTGTTGGAAGGCTGAATGTGAAGAGTGGATTGAAGAGTGAATTGCATCATCATTGTTGTATGAGCTGCAAGGTTAGATGTGGTTTTGGTTAGAGCAGTTAGAAAGCAAGGTTAGAGCAGTTTTTGAATATCAAAGAAAAGGTCTGGAAACACTGGGTTCAGTTTTCTGTAGTGAAAAATGCAGAATTCTAGACAAAAAATGGCAACCAAATAATGCAAGTGCAAGGTGGGAAGTGACGGGCAATTGTAGCTCTGCAGAAGGGCCTCTGCAGGGAGGGGTTTTGAAACCAAAGAGGTCCCACTGGCACACAGAACCAGGTGGCTAACTTGAGGCCCAGGGAGAAATTGCTTGTGCTCTGCTGATATATCTTCAAATAATATTTGTGCTCAATTTTAGGCATCCTGTCTTCAGAAGGATGAAATATACTTAAAATTGCATACATTACAACTGGAGATCCATAACAGAAGAAAGAGAATGAAGGTGATCATAAGGCACAAAATAGAGCCAATAAAGAAAAATTGAGACATATAGAGTCATCTGCTTGAGAGGGGATGAAGGGGAGGCTAGGAAAACAGTGGAAGTGACAAGTTTAAGGACTCTGTACTACAGGACATGACCATCAGACAGGTAGGTATAAATGTCCCAGGTCACCCAGGGAATCTGAAAAGTCTCTCTAACAAAACATCATTGTAAACATGGCGAGCAAATAATCCTCACTAACAACTGTCCTGGGGAAGAAGATGACCACAATTTGAGTCTGAACATTCTAGACCTTCCAGAATGTCACATGGGCACCACACAGTAGAGAAGCAGTATCAAAGTTTTTAGTACTTCTGGAAGGATTCAGGGGATTAAATGAACAATGAAAAGGATATCTTAATTTGATCAGTCTTTAAGGACTTGTGTCTAGACCCTTGTCCAAAATTAGGGCCTTGAAAAAACACCAAAAATCTATTTTACTGAGAAGAGCTTAGTTTTAATGGAAATAAAATCAGAACAGTTCACTTTCTTAATTGGGAAACTCTCAACTAATTCAGACAGTCTGGAAATAGGAAGGTTGATATTAATTTCTTCCCCAGCCCACTGCCTCTCTGCAGGCAGATCCTCATGTTCATGGCTGGTTGTAGCCAACTCATTGACATTTCGAGCAGTTGTAGATTTTTCCCAGTAGTCTTTAAGAAATTTACCCTTCTTCTCCAATCCTCTGGTGCTTAGATGTCTGATCTCTCCCCAGGAAAGAGCAGCCTATACTCCTTTTCTTTCTGGACAGTTGAATCCAACCTCTTCAGTTCTTGAAATCCGGGATGCTGTTCTCAAAAGAGAGCACTGCATTTGACCTGAGGCTGTACAGAAGACTTTAAGAATTGGTTGATAGTAGGGATTACTGGGTATGTAGTTGGTTAGAAGTGTGTAACATCACAGGGAGGAAAATTTAGAGTTTGGGGTTTTAGAATATAGAAATAAATATGAAGCAAGATGGAGGTTTTAGGGTGGAGATGGGTTGTTCTTCTTTACCTTCTTTTTCCTTCTTCTTCATGGGTTTGGGTGATTTGAGATTGGACAAAAGAGTCTGCATTGTGGGCATTGGGGAATCAGTTATTGAGTTAAAGGGGAAAATAATCTAGGTGTCCTGTCTTAATTGGATAGTTTAGTTTTAAAAGACCTTGTAGCAAGAGTTAGTTAACCATTTTGTGCCTTGCTAATGAAAAGCTGCCAAACTCGTGGTTGTGAGACTGTTTCACTGATAAGAAATAATAAACACCTGAGTCTGAACATGGAATGCTGTCTCAAGTGCCTTCAATCCTGACCTCAAGAAACTGCTATTCACTTTTTAGTGGAACACAATATAGCACTTTAAGCACTTGAGCAACACCAACACCATCCATCACACTTTCTTGATAGGAAAAATGCCTAGTTAAGATGAAGGTAAACAAGGACCAATAATTTCTAGAGTGTAAGGCCAAAAGGGATCACTCCTGATGTCTGGATAGCCTCTTAAATAACACAGAGCAACAGATTTCTCTGAAGTGTTTTTTTTTTATCTGACAGAAGTGTTTTTATTGCTCTTTTACCTAAGTTCCAAATTAAAACTTGCAACTGAAAAACCTGCCCCATTTTTTGAAACATTGTTTCAATGGTTAGTTAGACTTCGTGCTGAAAATCTGTCATTTATTTCTAATTTTCACTTGTCATTCTCTGTTCCTGTGATATTTTCATCTGCTAGGGTTAAGAGACATAGTGAAAGGCTTGCTCACTCTATTCGTGCTGACCCTTTGGGACCAGATCATCTCCTAACTTCCTCTTCAGTAAGCCAACAATTTTGAGTTTCCTAGTGTGGGACATGTTTTTGAAGTCATTACTCATCCCTGTGGCTCTGCCCTGAATCCTTTGTACTTTACTAACATCTTTAATAACACTGCAGAAACAGTTGTATTGGTGGCACATATTAAATAAGGGGTAGGGGGAAAAAGCTCAACTTCAACTTAATACTTCCCAATACATTTCTTAGGCTATTTTAGTATACTAAAATAGTATAGTATTTAGTATACTGGCATTACAGGGGGAACTTGCTTACACATCACCCACAAATATCTTGTCACTGATTCAAATTTAATATCCCTGAGCTACATATGCTACTGCACTTACCTAAATATTTAGATTTGATTGCAAAATTCACAATGCAATCTCTTTGCAGCTCAGCAACTCTCAAATATTTGTCTTATGAAGAATTTTAATTCTAGCCATCTTATTTATTTTTCTTCTTAAGTAACTGGCAAAGTGTCAAATGTATGAGATTTAAGCTTAATGGAATGGAAATGGGAAAAATATTCCAATACTTGCATAAAAATGTATAAAACTATAAAAACTTTCAATTTGCATGTTTGTGTTTCTGAATTTTCATCTTTTTTTTCTGGCAAGTTTTGTGTTTGCTGATCTCTGCATGTATGCACCTGTATGCAGGGAGATAGCCCAGAAATATTTTGATTGATCCTTTTGACAGAAATAATAGGGGGTTTTGGGGGGATTTTTTTTTTGCTCAAAATCACACTTCAAAACAGGACCTATATTATTAGGATTTTGTGTGTTGTGTTTTGGTAGTGTCAAAACTTGCTAGTGACATTTTAATAAAGGTGACTGATTTTTCAGTTCAAGCAATTTTCAATATTTATTTAGGATAAGTTTAGAAACTTTGAAACAACTTGAAGCAGTTGAAAAATATTTTAATATCAAAAAGGCCTCAAGATTTATTAAAAAGCCAGTCAACCAAAGGACCTTTCAAAATGTTTATTCCTGCAGGGTATTAAAAAGTTTTTTTAAATTTAATTCTTCTTTTAAATGTTCTGTAGTTGTAAAATTTCCTCGGACACAAAAAATACTGTCCCCAGCCAACTCTTACATTTGAACCTCAAGCAGTTTTCAAAGTGCTGTGGGCAGGTCACAAGGACAATAAACCCTCAGATACTGCAAAACAGGAAGGAATTGTAAAACATGGCAGCAAAACAGTGACTCATGCGGATGGCAAACATTTGGGATTGTGTGATTCACACGCCTTATCGTGCCTGCCTGCAGAACAACACCGTCTCACTGGGGCAGAGTAGCTCAGCCAGCTGAGCACTTCCAGTTACAAAGAGGACACGTCCACTAGCAGCAACTGCGAGTAACTCTCGGAGAAGACAAGCTCCATTGGATGTACAGTGCTTAGCCTTGTGAAACCTGAGCTCCACTCCCACCCTGCCTTCCTGAGGAGCCTTCCTGGCACCTTGCAGAGACACCATGTCACAGATCAGTTCTGCTCTCTCAACACCAGGTGCTGTGAAGACCCCACCCAATCCTTTTCTTCTTTCTTGCCCGAAGGTTGCCTGTATAGCCCTTAACTAGCTCACACCAACCAAAGTAAAATTGACAGATATTTGTTTCATCCCCCAGGACCATCAACCTTTCCCTTTCATATCTGCATACAGCATTTCCCATGGGTGAATGAGAAAGCCAAGGGACACGGTCTAGATGGGAAAATCCAAATTGCTCCCATTATATTTTCTGTTATCTCCAGAATAACTGAAGGGACTTTTTTTTATTTTCACCTTTCTTATTTCAAGCTCCCTTTTCCACCCCACAGAGACACCACAATCACCTCTAAGTCTTCCCACATAGTCTCCCTTTCAGCAAAACAGTAGATCTGAGCTCCTTCCTGTTTCTCCTTGAGCTTTTCAGGACAGACATCAGGACTCCACAGCAAAGACATTCACTGCCAAGGAGCAGTGAGGCAGGGGGTGTCTGGTAAGACAGTTCCTGGATCAGAGCACATCTTCATAGGGTTTGCAGAGCTCAGTGCCTGGTGTTGAGTACATGCAAGGGGCAGGGAAAACAGCAGCCTTTTACAGAACATGTTATCAAGTTCAGTGCTGATGAGGAAGTGTGTGGGTGTTGAGGGATAGCAAAATTTCTTTTTTTCACAGTTGGCCAATCCCACCAGCCTCATGAGACACAACTGCCTCGTTGATTTCATATTTACCTCAGAGGACCTACTTGGTGCAATAATCCTCAGTGCCAACACTTGTTGAAAGTTCTTCTCATCAGACCCCACATGATTTATCTGAAAGTTTTAAGTCCATAACACACCTAGGCAGCAAAATCTGTGTTGTTTTTGTTGCTGTGAATGACAATATGATTTCTTGTGTTTTCCACTGTCTTCAGACTCTGTTTCCTTCTCCTTTTTTCATTGTTCCTGTGTCCACAGAAATCTGTAAGAATGTGTCACATCAGTATTGTCACCTGCTGGAAGTAATTTCAAAAAATTACCCAGCTGGCACTTCTGTGAACTATTACACTAGATACAAACAACAGGTCTAGAGACCCTGCCCTGTGTATCATTGCAAACTGTTTGTCTTCTGATGCATGCTTTTTCAGCTCAAAGGAAAAAGTAATCCTGAAGTAAATACATTAAGCTCACTGTCAGAGCATATGCATCTCTACACATGCAAATAGTTACTAAAAATTAACAATATTTGCTAAGTCACAAAAGAGCTGTGTTTCATGTAATTTTTTTTACAAGAATCTTCAGAGACTCTGTCTTCTTCTTTTCCTCTAAATGCTTTGCATTAATTCAAATATTTGGATGTTGACAATGATTTAAACTTCCTCAAACTTAATTAGGAAGACAAAATTACTGATTCAGATGAATTTTGGAACAATAGATTAGCTCAAGACTCAGATAACATCTGCACAACTGACTATCCAAATCTTCTTATGGTAGAACAAGAAAATAATGCAATAAATGTGTTTTCATCCCTTTAAATTTGGCTGATCATCCAACTATATGCATGTGTCTGAAGAACTTCCTAGTTAATTTTAAGTATTCTCAAAATTAATGTTGTCATGCAGCTTCCTTTTCCATGAATAGATGGGCCCACGGGCAATACTAAGTGATGACTTCCAAGGAAATAGTCCATGTGTTTTGGAACACAGGTAGTTTCAGAAGCATTACAGATTAATTTGAGGTCTACTCCTTGTCTCTCACTGTAAGACTCAGAGAATGACCTTAATAATTCAGGCACAAAGGAAACCAAGGACAATGCCAAAACATATCCTGTTAATTCACATAGTTTATACTTAGAGATGGGTCTAACTTCTTGTGGTTTGTTTTTTATTTTTTTTAATTTTACAAATATGCCTCAGAGCAATAGACATAGAAATATGCTGGATGTTATGACAGCAAAACAAAACCAAAGCTGGCAAAATTTATTAAAAAGCATTATCCCTTAGATGAAAACAAACATCTGTCTTTCTTGGCAATTTGTGCTGAGACTTATTCTCATTACAGAAGTCAATTCAATTGTTAAATATTTATAGCCACTGTACCCTCTAGAAAATGCAGGTATAGGAAACTCTTCAGGATTAATATGTGCTTTGATTGGCACAAAACCAGTACAACAGCATCAGAATCTCTGCTAATATGTATCAGATTCAATTCTGGACTGTACAGTGTTTTACGCTATCTCACTTGCTCTTGTGATCAGAGAAGGTGATTATCTTCAAGGAATATTTTTAAACCTGACTCAAACTGTGTCTTTTCCTTACAAATGAAGATTTACTAGTAGTTGAGGATGATTGGGCTCACCAGGAAAGGACTTTATTTTTTGTAAAAAGCAAACATAAAGAATCCCACGGTCTGGTAATTGTCTCATTGTACTCTGCACCAGGCTTTTGACATCCCCTAGCCTACTGATTAGACATCATTTCTCCCTCAGTATTTGACCCTGTCTTTAAAGCTGCCTCACCTTCTTCCAACCAAGTTCCTTATCAGGCTCCATCACTGCTTTGAAAATATAGTGTCTCTTTCCAGCATGAAGGGGGGCAGGTGATGTATGGGAGATGTGTGGAGATGAGCGGGAGTTGTTCACCAGTTTCCAATGTCTGTGTGCCTGTTGCTGCTACAGTGATGGGTGTGCTCCCTTGCGGTCAAGTCACAGACACCCCCTTCCCCTTAACATCCAATTCACCATGCACTCAAGATTTTTTAAATTGAGCTTTGTTGAATTTGTAAGGGTATCCTGCTAGAAATCAACTCCCAGAAGTCAGTCTTCTGTCTAAGAACCTGGTGTAAATGACAGTCATTATAACTAGCAGCCACAATAACCACTTCCCTCACTAACCATCTACTGGAAAGATATTTATCAAACACCTGCCTGTTTCTACTTGTTGAAATACATGCAGTGTTCTTCCCACCACTGTGGATTCTCAGAAGTGTTGTTCATTGGTACTACTATGCAAAGAGTGTGT